CACTAAACATATGACAGGAGCCCAGTACAGCTAATTTGCCAGCCTCCTAGAAGAAACAGAGAACAAAATGTATATATTAATCTACATGAACAAATGTAATATTTGTTTTTTTTTTTTTTTTTAATCAACTTACCTTTCCTAGGTAAAAGGCTAAAACAGGTCTGTTAAGGGGGAAACAGACTGAGCCACTTGAAAGAACTGCTACAGCAGGTTTCATTACACTCAGCGTAGCACCATATGGGTAGACAAATGTTAAAGCTCTGTAAAAACCCAATTATCATGAGTTTTTATTTTATTTTATTCAGTACAAAAAATCAAGTTCTGAAAATAGCGGATACATTACTGTGCATTATTCCCCTTTTTCATCTTCTGTAATTCCAGTCATAGCTTTTCCAGTGGCTCGGCTGATTTCTCTACAACAAAAATAGTCTTAAAAAGAAAGTCTTAACAATAATTTGAGATAAAACACAAATTTAAGCAACAAACCTATTCAAGACACCATTGGATACAAGTGCCTCTTTTGGATGGAAGTATTTATAATATACATTCCTCACAACAGCATCTACATGTCATTAAGGATAAAACTAATAAAAAAAAGAAACTCAATCAATCTATAGAAATCTGGCGAACATTTTACAGACATACCACTATTGACCATTATGCCCAAGTCTTCCAGCAGAAAGTTAATATTGGTGTCAAATTTAGATTCTCCTCCTTCACCCAGCATTACAAGTAAATTCCCTCCTTCATCAAGGTAATGTTTAAGTATCTCCATCTGTAAAAGCGGACAGGCAATCAGATAGTTAATGTATTTAGCTGAAATGTGATTTAGATGTGCTTGTATTTTTGACTTAATAATTATTAACCTCTGATGCAGTGAACCTCTCCCTTGGACCAGCAGTGATCCACAATCTACCCCCTTTCATCTTCGCCAATGTCAATTCCTCCTTCATACTTTACATTACAATGATAATGGTATTTTAAAGTCACAGTGGTCACAATACTTGGCCGTGAAAAAGAACACTGCTCACCTCTGAATTTTCCATTGAGCCCTGAGTCTTTTCTGCAGCAATTTCTATCCGTTGTGTGTGATAAACAGTTCCCTCTTCGAAGCATCAAAAATCACCGTGTTATTTTGATCTTTATCCGTTATTGGACCGTGGTGAAGTTAGTTTCACGTCAGACGTTAGATATTCAGTGACGCGTCAACAGCGGAGATGTTCATTGCCTGTGCCCCGCTTGCTCGATCACGGTGCGGGGAACTGTACACCAAAGCTCCGCTGAGTCCGCGGGTTAGGGACCGTCAATAAATTACCATTGCATTGAATGGAGTCTGCTAAAATATATATATAAAGAAATAAAAAAGGGATTGATAAAAAATAAAAAAGGGTTTTATGAAACATTTGTTATTTTTATGTATTTTGAGGCTTAATTAGTTAATGCATTTTTTAAATATCTTCCAGGTCAATTAATCTAAAAACACCAAACCAAGTTGTTATAGTAGTCCTACTCCTCAGGTATCACGCACACCTTTTGGTTTTCCAAATTAACCCTCTGTGGGATTTTTAGGAATTTTTTTCCTTGGAAATCTGTGATTTTTTTTTTCAATAGCTTCTAAGGTAGATGACCTACCAACTCCAAACCAAGTTATTATAGTAATCCTACTCCTCAGGTATCATGCACACCTTTTGGTTTTCCAAATTAACCCTTTGTGGAATTTTTAGGAATTTTTTATCTTGAAAATCTGTGATTTTTGTCAATAGCTTCTCAGGCAGATGACCTACCAACTCCAAACCAAGTTATTATAGTAGTCCTACTCCTCAGGTATCACGCACACCATTTAGTTTTCCAATTTAACCCTTTATGGAATTTTTAGGCATTTTTAATCTTGAAAATCTGTGATTTTTTTCAATACCTTCTAAGGTAGATGACCTACCAACTCCAAACTAAAAATCCCACAAAGGGTTAATTTGAAAAACCAAAAGGTGTGCGTGATACCTGAGGAGTAGGACTACTATAATAACTTAGTTTGGCGTTTTTAGATTAATTGACTTGGAAGATATTGAAAAAATGCATTAACTAATTAACCCTCAAAATACATAAAAATAACAAATATTTTATAAAACGTACATGCACAATCCCTTTTTTGTTTCTTTTTATTTGATTCCCTTTTTCTTTTTTCTTATTTAATTTATTTTATTATTATTATTATTATTAATTTTTTATTTTTTTTTAGCAGACTCCATTCAATGCAATGGTAATTTATTGACGGTTCCTAACCCGCGGACTCAGCGGAGCTTTGGTGTACAGCTCCCCGCACCGTGATCGAGCAAGCGGGCACAGGCAATGAACATCTCCGCTGTTGATGCGTAACTGAATATCTAACGTCGGACGTAAAACTAACTTCACCATGGTCATTATTGGGATTTTCTTGAAGCTGTGAAGCCATAAAGCTAAAGTTGGAAAAGCAAATTTAATTTACTAATTTCTTTGAGATTATGTTAAATTTGAACAAAGGCAAATCAGAAATTGGAATAACTCACCATCTGTTTTTCCTCTGCTTTAACGCACAGTTGAACACTGGCTGTGCACTAACGCTAAACACTCTCTTACGTTATTAAACTTAATCTAATGACTCATGTTTATAAAGGCTGCTAACAGTTAGTTGTATGTACTGTGATGCTAACAAAGCTGTAAAGCACAAGCCTCAACTATTACTGTAGCTAGCCTTATGTGGCTAATGGGACTAACCTTACGTTTGCTAACGTGACGCATTTGTTTCTTTCCACGAATAACTTAGCCTACCTTCATCAATGGTCAAACATCCGGTCTTTCGTCGAGATATATATATAAAAAAAAGGTGAATATTATATGTACTATTACAAGCTTAAGGTTTATGAATGTATCTTTTCCTGTTGCATGATGGGAGATTGTGTGGTAACTAGGGGCGCTAAACCTTAGCAACCGACAAACCAGCTTTGCCGCAAGAGGCCGAGGATCTGACTCTGCCCAACATCAAAACAGAGACAAACTTACACTGACTGTATGCACGATTCTTTCTCATAGTATGTGTATGCGTATATATTCATGAAGGCAACAAATTGTATGAGTCAAACAGCTAAATTCAGCAAACAAACATGTTTTATTTATTTATTTTATAGATTAGTATAAAACATGTTAGCGCATAAATAAATATGTTTTAAAAATAAAATCACAATCAATAGAATTAATTTACTAAAAGTAACATTTACACACAGTTACAGTTTGCTGCTCAGATTTCCTGGTTTCACTCTGAGAACACCTTCTTGTGAACATGAGGCTGCCAGAACCCCATCTCTCCTCCACATTCTGCCATGGACCAGCCCACGGCTGCCTCCTGCAGGACAAAACAAGCTTTTGGCGAGTAATACATGTTATGTGAAAATTATGGCTGATTTTTACTTAAGATTAATTTCTTTAGGGCATTATGTTATATAAAATGCTATACATTAATTGTTAACCAAATTAATAACTGTTTGTTATTTTACCTAACCTGTATTTTATAGTACATATAGTACACATATGTATATTTAGAACTTATGTATATTTGAACAAATGCTATTGTTAATGTGTTGGTGTAAAGGTGGCCCTGTTGTTGCATGAGAGCTCACGAAGAAAATGCTATGCTGACCAGAAGAACATCCTATGCGTGCACACACACACACACGTACACACACATACGTTTTAGACTCTTCCTGGTCCTCTTTAACACTTAAACCAAAAACTAACATTCTTACACCTTCAATGAATGTGGGTCAATCTGTCTGAACCTGCTCAGCTTTAGAGCGACAGTCCTGACTGCTTTTAGGTTTTCAATGCCGCTAAGGAAAAAGTACAAGAGCAAAATGTAATATATAGAATATAAAAAAGTGAATAAACACCAAAACAAAGGTAAACAAGAACAAACCTGCCCATGGGCTTTCACACTCATACAGCATCCACTCATCACTGCGGAAAGTGCTGTGAAACCACATGGCATGGTCCAAGGAGGCAGAGAACAAGACCCTGTGCTTAGGATATGGCAGGAGGGCAGTGCTCAGAAAAGCATAGTCTGATACATATGCAGCAACACAGCAATGCAGTTTCATGTTTCCTTCACCTAAAAAGTCAGAAAAATTTATAAAAATAAGTAATAAGTGTAGCTATTTGGAGGAGGGTCTACCTAAAAGATTCAATTATTTAACCAAATAATGACATTTACCTATAAATCCCCGAGCTCTCACCCAAAATATCAGCTTTGGTTCAGTTATAGTAGCTCTGTTGAATGTTGATGGACTGATTGGCTTTATTTCAATGGGGACCTCACTTGCTAGCAGTTTGTTAAGACCCCGTCTCAGGTTTTCTGTCAGATCCGGTTTGCTGTAAACACAATACAAATCTATTACTTAAACGTCACGTTTTAGAGGAGAGAGTCCAGCGGGTAAGGGCATTTACTTCAAATAAAATTGGATTAGCTCCTCTACAGATGGGAGGTCTTCTGGTGGAGGCACTACAGGCATGGTGAACTGATGCTCAAGAGGACTGGACTGTAAAAGGTGAAAAGAGGCCTGGCAGATGAAGATGGGCTTTCCATGCTGAATTGCTTTGACAGAGCGGACTGAGAAACTGCGACCATCTCTTATGCGCTCCACTTGGTACAGCACTGGCACTTTGGGGTCCCCTAGATCACATAAAAAAGTTGTCATACAGTATATTAAAAAAATTATGTGTAAGGCTTGGGACCTATAAAACCATAAGTTGCAGATCTACTTTTACCATACCTGCTCGTACAAAGTAGCAATGAAGAGAATGTGCGAAGAGACTGTCGCCGACTGATTTTGCTGCTGCCACAAGAGCCTGGCCAACTATTTGACCTCCAAATAGGCGCTGGGTATTGGGAACCCAATGATGTGTCCCTCTTAAAATATAAAAATATACTTGTAGGCCTATTGTTCATATATGGTATTATTAACCTACACACACAGTATTAACATTTGTGTTGTGCTTTTTGTATGAAAAGTGCTCTATAAATAAAGTTTGACTGATTGATTGAACATATAATCCCATCATCAAGAGGGGTCTGGCTATCTCTACCCACCCACTCATCTTTTGTCATGCTCTGAGTGACTGAGATATGGATATAACCATTGATATTGAGGTATAAACTCTCAGAAGCTGCAGATAGTTTTAGTCAGCTGTTGTACATAAACCAAGCCAGGCATGTACCACTTACTCTTTAACAGACATGCCCTGGCTACCAAAGGGCACAGACAAACCATCCCATGTGCTATTGGTCAGTTTTCCAGTTCTAAACATTTTTACAGCTAAGCAGAGTTAAGCAGAGATTTTACTTCAAATATTCAGACATGGCAGTCTACAGCAAAACTCTTTTGATCAAATATACTGTACTCTTTTCTCTTTTCTTTATGTTGTATAATGGCGGTCATCTTAAAGGGCCCGTATTTCACCATTTTCTGATCTATCATATAAAGTTGTTTCCTCATCAGAAACATACCTGAAGTTGTTTTGTTTCATTCACACATGTTTAACTTACAAATCCTGCATATTTAGGCTGAATTCTTTTCTCAAACAGAAAACACTTTGTTCCATTGTTTTTAACTTTTTGTTCTTTTCTTTTTAACACTGTGTTTTCAACTTGCCTGTCTCTACTGAAGTGAAGGAGCTGCTAACTAGAAAACTACCGCTTCATGACATCATAAGGTGGAACAGGGCATTTTGAGCTTTGAAGAAGTAGACAGGGTCACTCAAACATGTGTGATGAAACAAAACACAACTCAACTCCAGGTATGTTATTGAGGAGGTAACAGCATTATAGCAAGGCTTAAAGCTCACAGGAGTCATTTTAGCGTAATATACATTTAATGAGGTTCATGATGACGGCTCTGATAATGTACTTTGCACCCATACAAATGTTTATTTTTAATTAATCAACATGACGCTCAGTTAATACATTGTACTAGGCATCTTTCACAAAAGTTTTCCAGAATTCAAGTCTTACCGGTACAAGTCTACATCAAGTGTCTCTAGGTTTAGGACACTGGTGACTAGAGCCCTCTTGAGATCCTGGGAGAACTTACGGGACTCGTTTGAGTTTAAGTTTTCTTCATTTTCTGCAGATGTCGCTGCACCTCCTTCTTCCGCCATGGTTCTAGTCCTCTTCTTCTTGTCAGCAAAGAAGAAATCACACATTAAGCGTTTTGCTCATTAAGGCCCCCTGCAGGAGTAAAGCAGAATTACACACATTGGGAGGAGCTTTACAAACCTCTTTGAGAAATATTCAAATGACGAGAAATTGAAATAAATACAAAGGATAATAATATTGACAAACCTATGGTAACATTTACACAGTTTTACACGGGTAGCATCATACTTCCATGAGTAGCACCCACACATCCTCAGCCCTCTCTCTTCAACTTTCTGTTTATTCCGCAATTTTAGGCTAGGCTAATTCTTCTGAGCGCAACAAGCAGAGGAGACCGGGGCATGTCACACTGGGTAATTTTTCACACTGCATTTGTTTTCAAAAACAATATGTTTGATCTATAAATGAAAGCGCATAAACTATTAGTGTGTGTGTGTGTTTTTTTAACACTATACTGTCATGATATTTGATGTTTGTCTGCCTGAGAAGCATCCAGAAAAGCATTAGTTGACTTAGTTGCAAGTGAAAAATAAAATATCAGTAGCTGAGAATTATTTTCAAAGCCATTTCAAAGAATATACATGTTTAAATATTTAATAAACAGTATATTCTGGGTCTTGGGCCAGTTTTGCGCGCCCTCTTGTGGTCATTGTTAAAACTGCCTTGGGTTCATATTTAAACCTGTCACAGCCTTTGGCTTTTTGGGTTAAACCTGTATAATGCGTTTTCAGTATTTTTTAATTTTTCCTTGTTAACAGATCTTTTAAGAGGTGCTTTTTGAAAGCCCCACCTAAATGATTGTTCACATTTAAATAAATGCCACTGTTTTTTTATGATGTTCTTAAATTCCTCAGCAGGTTTTGAGTGCAGAGTTTAGCTATTTTATGTTGACCCTAAGAAGATCAGACCTTTGTTTGCATCTTTGTGACAGCATCATTCTAAAGGCATCATCACACCAGACTTTCCTTTGGCCTTTCTTGGCACTGAAGCCCCTGGGTGCTCTTGCTTTGTCAAAATTATCAATAGATATCTTCAGCTGTGAATAGTATGAATTCTATTTTCTCTGCATCTACAATATAATGTGTTTCCTTTTTTGTGTGTGTTTTGATGGCGCTCTTGTGGCTGCACTGCGCTGTGGTGAGGCAGGACTTCAAGTGGTGCTCCTGTGTTATTTTTGGCACAAGCAGCGGTTGGTGGCTCTGGAGCAGAAAGGAGAGACAGAGGGGGATCGCATGGAGTCCAAACCAAGACTGTCTGAAGGATTTGCTTTGTAAGGATTAGAGATATATTTCATTTTTGTCATCTGAATGGATAGAATTGTTATGTATACTGTGGACACAGTCATGTAGAAATTTATAAAATACAATTACAACAACTGACCCACAATCGACAGTCCAATAAGTTGTTATTTTAGTTAAAGTCCTGAATAATACAGTTTCTACTAGGTTATTCAAATTTTTCTCTGAGGAACCAGCTGGAGGTCCTTGAATTCATTTACAGTAAATCAGTACAAATAATGTAAAGATCCTGTCAATAGGGATCAAAGAGTGCTAAAACATGTCTAAAATGTCTTGGTTGAGCACATAAAAAGAATGGTCTTCAGTATCTTGAACGAGGGACAATGTTCAGGATTGGGTTAAGACATAAGACATAAGCCACAGGATAATGGACTTTAATAAGTTTATTCACAGTGGGGCCTTAATTCTGATAACTTAACTAAAATATATGTCTTTGACAGCAGGCGTACCTAGAGAGGAGGAACCAAGGATGCCATCGGCTTAGTTCCTTATTTCATACCTACAACCTCCTAACTGTGAGTGACAATGCGTTACACACCCTATTACAAATATTCATCATCAGTTGTAATCTATAGGCAGTAGTTTAACACATTTTGGTTAACATATCCTTAACAAGACAGTTAAGGATTATCTCTAAACTTATGGCAGTATTTATTGGTATAGAGAGAATCTGTATGTTGGTTTTCATATGGTGTACAGACAAACATTTTTCTGATTGATTAGCTTGCTTTACAATCTAATTTGGAAAATGACTCAGTATAATAATGTATTTGTATAGAAAATCATTATCAATTAAAGGTTAATATTTGAACATTTTATTTGTTTATTAACTATGGCAGTTGTGTTTTGTTTCATTTCCTCTCATCTTTGTAAGCTGGCTCCTTCTCCTGAATCTTTTATTTACTGTTCAGTAAATATAATAGTTTGCCTTGACCTGTCATATGTATAAATCAGATTGCTCCACGATACTGTTCCACCATAGTTTTCATTACATAGGAACAGTTTTTCAGTCAAGCACTTTGTAAATGCTTTGTGGGAGTCTGACTAAGGCATGCTGTCTACAACCATGCAACATCCAGTGTCAGCCATTATTGCTCCTCCTTATGCACTTCTGAAAACAGCTTTTGAAAAAATAATTCTCCAACTCGGCTTTTGGCCCTGGATCAAGAGAACATTATTTCTCCACTTTATTTATTTATATATTGTGGTGGTAAGTTGTAGTGTGTGTGTCCGTGCAGTAAGATTTCAGAGTGTGTGTCTGTGTGTGTGTGCGTTAAGCCACATAGATATTTCAATTTCTTCAGAATATTAAATAAACATGCAGCAGCAGCCTCAGTGCCAGTGGCTTAGGGGTTGGATGGGGGGTGGTGCTGGCGGTTAAAGGGGGGACGAGGGGGGATAGGCTCTGGGGGGGTGGGAGCACTCATGGTCAGAGGACCCACAGGACACAGTGGCGCCTCGCACTGGAGGACTTCTGAACCACCACACTTCTCCAACAAAACCCTGCCAGCCCTGGATCCAACTACACATCCTCAGCCCTCACTTTTGCTCTTTCGTCTCTAGCTCCTTCGAGACTCTTAAGTATTCTTATTTTGCTGATATCATTAGTTTTTCTGTACAGTCGGCCCATGTATGAAAAAGATTGAGTAAATTTCATTATTGTTGTGTGTTCTTCTATTCGTAACTTCTGTGTAGTCTTTAAAAAAAATTCTCCTCCCTGTAAATGTTCCAAGGAAGTACTTAGTGGCTTGAGTTGAAAAAGAAAGGTTTGGGCAGCATGTCAGTCAGAATAACACAGAGAGAGTGGGTTTCATAGGGAAAAAGCAGTTTGTGCATCAAGCAGATCTTTGGTCCATCAGCTTACTTTGTATATGCCAAAATGTTCAAGTAAGTAAGTTCGCAAAGCAAGAAGTTAGTATTATATTTACTGTATGAACATGCCTTGTGGTCTTCAAACCATATTCATAGTGGTGATAGAAGCTGGGCCTATTTAATATTTCACTTTCTTCTAAATGAATAGATTTTATTTAACAAAACTGTACTTGTTCAGTTGTAAACAGATACTCTTTTATGTTAGTTACAGAAACATTAGTTTAAAGAACAACAAAAAAAAAAGTATGGTAATTCAATTTCACTCTCTCATCCCTGTACTTACATACCCCTGCTACTTCTGAGGTGTTTTTAACTGCACTTACTGCTTCACATCACTACACTCAGCTACTATGATATTGCTCTTGTGTTGAAGTAATACTTAAAAACCTGACCTTTATTTCTTCTAGCAGAAAAACTGCTAGAAGAAAAACTAGAAATAAAAGTCAGGTACAAGAGTGATGGCCTTTAAGCAGTTATTACATTTTATTTTACTTGTTTTGAGAGAGCTTTTACTTTCTGTTTAAAATGACGAGTGGTATCTTATGGTACTATTAATTGGATAAATATGACAACAACTTTGGATGTGTTACAAATGTGATTAACTGTTTCCATACCATAAGATAATATCCACTGTCAAACACCATACATGAAGTGGATATATATCTAAGTTTATAAGTGTCACACAAGCCATTTTCTTAACTTTGTTTTTTCTGGAAGTAATTTGTCATCCGGAGGTCATTAAACGGGGGGCAGATTATATTTTAAAAGAGGCACACAGGCACCCACATGCCTCCTTCAACTCCTATAAACAAAATGGGCTCATTTAGTGGTCCTCTTGGTCTATTGGACGACATAGGAGGGGTTCTTTTTAAACTTTAAAGACATTTGTAACCTAAAAATGACTTTGCCATGTAGTAAAATAGTGGATTAGAAGATCAAAATGGCAGCACTAAAAGGGTTGATGATGCCATTCTCATAAAGCCAAGTTTGTTTGCAGAGCTGAGAGGGTGGTCTAACCTCCCTTACCACTGTAATAATAGCTCCAATCATATGGTGGATAGGGAAAGGAAGTATGAAGATGTTTATCAAGATGTCCAACCAACAATACATTTGGATAGGACATGCAATAATCAGTGGTGGAAGAAATACTCAGTTTGGTAAAAGTACAGATGCCAGAGCAAAAAAACAAATTAAAAAAATACTCCAGTAAAAGCATCACATGAACAAATCTACTTAAGTAAAAATACCCCTTTTAAAATGTACTTAACGAGTAAAAAGTATGTAGAATTTTGTTCTACAGAAACATGTGAACTGAATGTTTTTTTCATAGCTGTTTTTATTTATACATTTTTGTTTGTGGAAACTGAGAATGTGTTAAAATAAACCCCTCAGGCTTTTCAGTAAAAAAAAAATCTTTTCAGTCCAGTTAAAAAATATAGTGGAATAGAAATTACAGATACCTACTCTCATATGTAGGGAAGTAAAAGTACATAGTAGTAAGTAATGTTGTGTTCCACCACTGGCAATAATACATGTAATTTTGACTAAGTTAGTGTTTTTATCACTCTTGTACCTCAGCCCGTCCAGGTACTTGACTAAATGCTCATAGTTTATAGCACCAATCAACCAAATAAATAAATAAATACGTAAATGTTATATGGTAGAAGTGTTAGAAATAAAGCATGATGATGTCGTCACAAAAGAACAGCCCACAGGGAGTTTCCTCCTCTGATGGTTGGAAAGGATAAGCTGTATAGACATGTTGTATTCCCACTAACCCAAGCCTTTGTCCTTTCTTATCTGTAGTTGGGCTGTTTAAATGCTGACCTCCTGCGTTGCCGG